GACGCACCTGCATTTTAATTTGTTGTGTCTCTAAAAAACTCACGTACAAATTAACTTCTAAGAGTGCCCAAGACAGTGAATTTCAGCGTGTGTCTTTTGCCCTTCGTCTTAATTATCTAGAATGAACGAGTCAATTTTTTTTCTTCGCTGAATTTAATTATGCTCATTTTCAAATTACACTTCGCTGTTCACTCTAAATAACAGTTAGTAAGAATCGCTTGATCTCGTCATCTATTCACGCAGTTTGATTGTACGCAGGGAATGCATTTTCACAATAAACGTAATGTAACAACAAAGGCCCTTACTGAATAATGCCTGAATAGTCTAGAGAGGGAGCGTGGTAGCCTGGAGCCCAATATATATTCGATTGAAGTCGCCTATTCATGAGATACAGCAGGTGCATGTTGTGCTGCTCAACATATTTTCTCGTGCGCTCATCTTCCATAAAACTGAAGAGAATGCCGCGTTTCCCGTTTCATCACCGCAGCTCTGCGAGCCGAGAAACTGAGAAAAGAGATTTGCCTTTTGCCTCACTAGTATATTTTTCAATGTCAACCTGCTGACATATTCTAGAGCTATACGTTCCCTTAATGCTGAAGGTGATTGCTCTCGACGTTGTCACTTTGGTATAATTTTCTGCAAATCGACAAGTCACCTACTTACCTTTTCCATAACATCGTGATTTTAGCGCCACAAAAGACCTGCCCGCCGTCGTCTGTCTGTCGTTGGTCTCTCACATGCGTGTGCCCTTTTTGGTGCTAGAATCACCATGTCATGTAACCAACAACTCGCCCAACAACATGCTCCTTTGCTTACGTTTTTCTCTCTTTATAAATTTAATGTGCACTTCGAAACGCCTTTCACCTCTTTTCTAAGGATATAATGATGAATCTCTACCTTTTTTATGCATTGAGATGGCAGTGAATTCCTCTGAAAGGAGTGAAATGTAACCAGGTACTGATGTGGTATTGCAAGAGGCAAGTCTGTGTAACGTTGTAAGGGAAGGTTTTTGTGGCGTTTTGTTCTAAACAACAGTTTTGTGTCCAAAATAATTGTGGCTTTCGTTGTGAGTCATAAAAATAGCGTTCCGGGTCACAAAGTGCTTACGCACTTCTTAATCAAATTTTCGGCTGATCTGTCGCACTTAAAGTTAGATACTCTGACATCAAGGTTTCCTGTAAACGTTTTCTTTACAAATAGGGTGTGTAATGTAAACAAAAACACTGCTGACGGCTTATAAATTATAAGTTTTGTGTTTACAGGTATCTTTTATATACAGGACCTCTGTTATTCTGCACTTTGTACTCTGACCTCTGTACATCATGCTCGTCGAGCCTAGAGCTACCAATGGCATGAGAAGGGGTTCTCAGTAGAAATTGTTCATTATTTAGCTTGAAGTATTTTTGCCCGCGTATGTCAGCAGTAAAAACTGAACGATTTGGTGGAGAATTTATACAGCACTGTCAAGAATGAAGTTGATTGAAAACAGCGTGTCAAGGCTTCGTTCCATTTGACTGAGTTCTTTGTGAAACTAGCATGGGGCGCTTTAGTTCAGGGCTAAATTTGTAGGGCGCATACGATGTTCAATGCCACTAGGACAAAAAAAACAAGAATGAAAATTACAGAAAGAAGAGATTTCAAGGTCTGGAGGAAAACTGAAACATTAGTCTATAAAAATTTCGATAGTGTTTTGAGCATGTTTTACAGTATCCTGAGCTACATTCACTATAACGACTCAAACAGCATGGCATCTGATGTAAACGCAGCTGTATGAGTTTATTATTCATAGCATACACACGTTTTCTTTTGTTTCGTGTAACACTAAGCATATAAAGAGCCCACAACATCCTCTTCTTTACTTTAAATGTTCCTTTCTGCCCCTTTGTGAACGTATGTGTTACACTTTTTATCGTACCGGAAATGCTGACTGCCGCCTCCATTTATTATTTTTGAAGAGCACACATGCCAATCACGCATTGCCACTTTGCGATACATGGAGACACGCTGTAATTCATGAAGAATTATGTTACGTAGGTTTGGTTGTAACCGCGAAGCCAATTCATGGGTTTTAAAAAAGTAGAGTTAGGGGTGCATCACATTCGGCAGGCATTCCTAAATAATAAATGGTAATATACCACCAACCCTCGATAGGAAGGTATTAACAGCTACATCTTGCAAGTAGTTACACATTGAGCGATACCTAGATGCTTACAAAAAAGGTTCAGCTTAAATTTAGGACGAGGGAGCGAGCGATGGAAAGGAACACGATAGGTGTAACCTTAAGTAACAAGAAGACAGCAGAGTGGGTAAGGAAACTAGCCTGTGTTAAAGATGTCATAAGTGAAATCAAGAAATAAAATTCGACATGGGCCGGGCACGTAGGGCGGAAGCAGGATAACCGCTCGTCATTAAGGCCAACTGACTTGATTCCTAGAGAAGGCGAACGCACGAGGGGGGAAAGTTAGGTGGGTCAATAAGATTAAAAACTTCCCAGGTATAATGTTGCAGCAGAAAGCACGAAACAAGGTTTACAGGTGGATCATGGAGGAGCCTTTGCCTTGCAGTAGGTAGAGTTAGGGGTGCAGTCAGGCTGATGAGGATGATGATTCGATAGTCTGCCGAGTCTGCCGCTTGCAGAATTCTCAATTACCCACTTTACCTTCAAGCAGTACCAGTCCATTTCAATGATCCCTTATAAATTGCTTCACTCACGAAGTCATAAAACACTGTGCCTTTAAAAGGGTAGTGTAAAGATTTTTCTCGCGCCTTTATTTTTATCATGGTATTCACGAGACCGCCTGAGAACATACAGGATATTTAAAGAAAACGTGTAAAAATCCTCAAAAATCAATAAAAGTCTTTGCGGCCTTCAATTTTTTTAAACACCAAAGTGTTTTATGTCGGGGTCCACACGTCTCCGCTGACATGCTTCTGTCACGGAAGTGACGTTGCTACGGGAAATGTAACCAGCAACCTCTTGATTCTCAGCGCGCGGTGCTAATTACGACACCGCAAAGCGTATGCTGTCTGGATTGCTAAGGTCAAGCCCATTATATACACCATACGCCGTGTCGCAGTCGTCAGCGCTTCAAACATTTGGTGTGTTTTTGTTATCAGTGGAGAGATGGCATGACGGGCTCACGTTGGGCGCGCTTTGAAGGTTGTCGCCTCCACGATGTGCCACCTCCGTGGAGCGTGGTCCCTCCTGCACGCACGGTAACCAGGCTCGTAGTTCGAGAGAGTACAAAGGCCCATTGTCAAGGAAGACTTGTGGCAGTTATTCGCCCTTGTCATTTATACTCGTGCGCTCGTTTCGTGCGTCCTCCTTTCTGTTTGAGCAGTGAGCTTTGAATCTCGACCTGTGACAGTTGTTAGTCTACGCTTGTCCTGTGTATGCTAAGGTTGTGCATGCTTTCTGCTTAAGATGTGAGGTGCAAGTTTTGAGCTGCTTGCCGTTCCTAACGTGAATTAGCAGTTTGTTGCTGTTCCTGAAACAATTCACAATAAACACTGAATTACCTCTGTAAACACTCCTTTCTCTTTTGTGTTATACCGATTCCTATATATGGAAACCAACCATGTTTTTGGGCAAGAATATTAGGTTGCTGAAAGCCATAATTAAAAAAAGTCAATAAAACGTAAGTAATTGCCCTTCAAATACTGAAGTGAGTATATTAGGTGAAAATCAGAATTAAAGTCTTTCATGCCAAGAACCCATTGTATCTTTTGGACATAAAGATGTTCTCTATTATATAATTTTGATGTAACGACACACAATCAAATTAACAGTGAAGCCAAATTCAAAGCACCGATGAGCATGACAAACAGATGACTGGAGTGAAGCCACTTATTACGAGAAGTATTACAGAGGTATCGTTCTTCCGGGTGAATATTGTAGGTGCGCTATGCGTCCTATAATTGCAGTCACAGCCGGCACACCTACACAACGGAGATACTTCATGGTTCACATGAGAAAACTTTTTTCGCTATTGATGTCTTAGCAATATATGGCGGTTTCACTCTTTCGCGTTTTGGTTTAGTCTTCGCCACCAAATTGTGGTGAAGTTTATTATTTTGCAAAAATCACTAGAAATCACTCTTTCGAAAATTCAAAGCCTCAACAGGTTTTCGCTAAAAGGACTTCGATTCTTCCCTTGATATAACCTCTTAACTTCACTAATGAACAAACGTCTTCCTTCACCCTTTCAGCCTCGAATTTTATATTTCGCCGCGAAATTGTTCGTGCGCATCATTTTTTATCTTGGACTTCAGAAGAACCATAATCAAAATTTCGCCAGTGATGGGAGTATATATGAATTAACTGGCATATCGTCGAAAGGATAGAAAACGGGATCAACGGCTTTTTTTGTTTCTTCTGCTCGCTTTAGTACACAAACCCAGAAGCAATCTTTTGACGGCAGTGTGGTAGCCACTTAAAGAGCTTGAATACATTTTCCCGAAAATGGTGGTTATCTGACTTAGCTTACGGCTACGCACCATGGAATCGTTCACGACTTGAATAAAGCTGCTTTGTAGCTTCCAGCTTCACAAACATGCCACAATTTGCTGTAGATCTCAGTGGATGTCAATAGCGGCGTACACTTTCAAAATGACCAATTTTCGTTTCGTATCTGAGGCGCTCGGTCAAGTGTTGTGTGAAATGATTTTATCTAAAAAAATACTCTGTATATAGTACTCGAGGACGGGAGACATTATTACGCAGGCTATGCTTGGTGAAATGTTTTGTTTACCTCATAGAGTCTCGACAGCAACCCACTTGACTGTTTCCGCTATTCTAAACATGTATTTTGGCAAAAATACGATGGCAACCACCAGTGCGTACAAACTGTGCTTCATTCTCAGCACATTGGGCGACCAAGCAACGTGATAAAATTCATTGTGCATATTTCGTTGATATTGGGTGACCTGATAATGATTTCTGCATGTCTGGTCTTGTTTGATGAAGAATGTAGAAACTTTGCTTCTTCGGGATGACTTACCTATTGAATGGTGGCCACTCCTTTAGAGTGAAGTTCTCTACGATGTCCACAAGTATAGACGTGCCAAGTGAATGAACTTTAGACTTTCACGGATGTTCAGGAATATCTATACTGCGAGTTCGACACCCCAGCTCCGACTTTCAGGGACAACCAGCAACGTTTGAGTGCTAAGATGCCATTAAAAAAGGTGTGCTGTTAACGATCAGGATATTGAAACAGGCGATGTAGAAGACGCTGACATCATGGCACTTCAAGGAAGGCCAACCATAAAAGAATTAACAGCCCGCCATGGCGCTGGTACAATCTTATCTTTAGTCTGCATTCCTGCTGCAGTAATTGCCTTTGGAGATCAAGGAATCGCTCACACTGCAAATGAACAAAGCCGGCCGATATCTTTCTATTGCCAAACGAAAAAGGCCAGTCATATCTGGAGACCAAACTACCATGTAAAAGTGGTTTTTCTCCCGCACACCGCCATCTAGCAATGCTGTTGGACGCGTCCCATCTTTTTGCAATGCATTTTCAGAAAATCTATTGTTGTCTTCTACCAGCCTATAGGTCGGCATAACAATCACAGGTAACTCACAACGTGAATTACTCTTTATACCGTTGCACTTGGTCGAAATCGCACACCACACTTCAGCATTTTTACTTGGAGCGAAACAAACTCGTTTTATTAGGTCATCATCAGGGTGACCAATATGGTCAATTAGGAAAATCGTCACAGCTGCACTAGTTGTGAACATGCTGCAGTGAACGTGTTGCGGCACCAAAGGTTTTTAAGAGTTTCTAACCGGACCACGTACACAACATCGTGGTATTCTGATACGAAGACGCGTCTCCCTAGCAAACAGTGTTGCAACAGCAGCTGATGTTTGCCATGTGTAACACCTTGCACCTAAGCGTAAATACAACAAGTAAATATTCGTCTCGTGCTACTTTAGGCAAGGACATTGTGGTGGCGGTGCATTTACACTTGTCCTATGCGTACCATCTGCATGAATTCATGGCTACGCAGTAAACAAGCGTAGTGAGATTACTGCAGAAAGTAAGTCAATATAGGTGAGTTTATCACCTGTTATGGCGAAGGTTGTACACAAAAGTTTGTTAGATTGCTCTTATGATCAACGTTACTAATCCTACAGAGGTACGAGTACTAATCAACATCGCATCAGATTGGAACTAGACAATGGGTGTTTTGGGTATCGGAAAAAAAGCCGTGAACAAGCACTTCTTTTTTAAACGTGCCTTAATAAATAGCCTTCAAGATGAAGCGTCTGACTCATCTTTCACTTGTAAGTCCCGCATTAGAGTGTGAAAAAGTTCTTGTTCACTTTCACGCCCACCAGCGTGTTTACGTTTGAAATTGTGCCGCGTAATGCAGCACAATTATTTATTACCGATACCGGCACACAAACTAAACCTTCTAAGTCACTGCGACGTGTAGTGCTCGTCCTTTTATCTGACAGATTGAAGCTTCATTACCTAAATATACTTACATTGTTGATACGAGTTGTTTTTTTATCAAAGAACCAAACCACTACAACGTCAATCATTCTGTGATCATCTCACAGAAACGCTCATTAACTTTCGATAAAAACTTTGGCAGCAACACTATTTCTTTTTATTTATTTTATCCGTGATCGGCGCGCAATTGTATAGAAAGCGCTAGACGCCCCAAGTTTTTTGCAAATTAGAGTAAAACGTACCTGAAACTTGTTGAGCTGTCCATTGTGATACCGCTTTCAAGGAAGAATAGTGCACGAGTGCGGGTTGCTTTGCATTAAGTGAATGTTTTCTAAAGAAATTATATCTTGCTTGTTTAACGCTCTAACATATCTCTGTACGAAAGAAATGTAACCCATGACGCTGTTGATTGATTTGTGGGGTTTAACGTCCCAAAACCACTATCTGATTATGAGAGACGCCGTAGTGGAGGGCTCCGGAAATTTCGACCACCTGGGCTTCTCTAACGTGCACCCAAATCTGATTACATGGGCCTACAAAATTTCCCCCTCCATCGGGAATGCAGCCGCCGCAGCCGGGATTTGATCCCGCGACCTGCGGGTCAGCAGCCGAGTACCTTAGCCACTAGACCACCGCGGCGGGGCCCATGACGCTGTAACCTAAGTAAATATGTCTATAACCTATTTATATTTTTTGTTTCTCATGAGTGCTACTAGCTGATCGTCTGTGTCAAGGCACCTTATAATGGCACGTGGGGTTTAACGTCCGAAAACCACCATGGGACAATGAGAGACGCCGTAGTGGAGAGCTTTGAAAAATCACGCCACCTATGTGTAAATTGTACCAACATTTGCACTGGAAAGCTTCTGTGTCTTTGCTCATTCCCTGACTCTAAGTGCAATCCCGCCCACAATCACTGCAAAAATCTCGTTTGACGTTCACAGTACACTGTAAATAGGAATAATAGAAAATATTACATTACACCACGCATTTATACCGCTTTGCTACATTAGGCATACAGCCACAGTTGCTACACCTATCACAATGTCGTGCGTTTACTGTGAATCTCCCCTTCCGGTGAAGCTTAGTGTGTATCACTATATATTTCCTTACAAAGAGCTTACACTATAGCTCTGTACTTACTTGTTCAATTTCCTGTGGTTATTTTAATCCTATTAGGCGCATAATAAGAAAAACTATCTTGGTCACAACGAAACATGCGACGCACATACGTTATACGGTCTTTGCATCTCTTCACACTGTGTTGTGCTGTGCCGACAACTATGAAACAACGAAGAGAATGCTTCTGTCTCATGAATACTCAAGGTTGTAAAACATCGTACGGTTACCAATATGAAAAACAAACTTTGCATTTGAAGCTAGTGCCTGTTTGATAAGTGGGCACTCATTGCCCTGAGGTATTTTGCTGTTCTTAAGATGCTATGCCAAGCTACGCGTATCAAAAAACAATTCCTGATATTTATTTATGGGTTCTAACAAAAACCTCTTCTTGATGCATCCATGCGAAAAATATGTACATGAATCGTTATGGCGTATTCGTTCACAATGACGAAAGCTTTCGTTTCTTCACTTGATGTAGGCGTGTTTAAATGCCATTCCTAAAGGCAACAACAACGCAGCAACTACGCAGTAATAATTTCGCTCCTTCATCTGCTGGTAACTGCAAGAATACGAGGCGCACAAACCATTTCGTATTGCTATCACTGCAGTGCGAAAGGGGACTCGGTGCAAATCTCTATAACAGCTCGATTGTAGGACCTTAAGAGAATCTCCCATAACTCTCGTGGCATGGAGAGAACGCCGGTGCAGCGCTTGCTGAGTGAAGTGTGGTTGTTCACCAAGTACGCGCATTACCGTTTCCATTGTCTCCGCCACTTTGTGCGGTATAAGCGTCGTTTCAACATGGAACCCTTTGTTGTAGCCATCAATATACGCAACTGCGAGACTCATAGTGACATCACATGGTTGTCTCGAAGAATGGAATCACTTAGTCGTACTAAATATACTGATAAGTATAATTATAGAAATCTGTATATTTAGTACGATTCACTGACAAATTATAGGTAAGAAGACGAGCGCTAACTTCTTGTCCTTTTGTGGTCGTTCTGAGCTGGCACTACAGCATTCGTCATGCCCTACCAACTAGCCCGAATTGCCAAGCTTCTAGTGATAATAACACTGCTTATGTTTCAAAAAAAAAACTTTCGAAGCATATTTGGAAGCATATTTTCCTCTCATATGTGAGAAAAAGAACTGTGGAACATGCGTTTCTTATCTCACCGTGTTTCTTCTTTCTGAGTGCCCGTGTGGACGGAACTGCGCGTGACGCCGTTCTTATTTCGGCCCGAGAGTGGATGGGGTCTGACGCAGCTGAGCCACGCTAGTCAGGAAGCGGTCTTTATCTACGACAATAATAAAGCCTAAATACCCATCTACCTTTTTAGTTCTTGCAACGTCTCTTTATTTTTTTATTTAGGTGCAGTTATCCACGTTCAAACACCAGAAACTCATGCCACCTGCGGCTGTTTCCTGCGTTGAACACGCGTCCGCCGACTTCACCAACACACAAGAAAACGAACTTCCGCTCAGGACCACTTCTGTGTCGTGAGACACTGCAGGGACGTGGTGTTGAAGGCAACGCCATCTAGCTATACGAATTTCATGCAGCCCAAGCGGTGAATCAGATGTGTATTCCCTGATTAGAACCAAGATATAGCCAACGCGATAACTCTCGTGAACAGCAATACGAACACGCATAAAGCGCAAGTTTCACGGCTGTGTCATTTTACACAGAGTAAGGTACATTCGAACGTAGCTTTCGTGTTTCCGCGTTTCATCATAAATGGCAACCTTTTCTCTTCGAACCTCCCTCGAGCCTACCGAACTATTCACCGCGTTTCGATTATTCAAATTTTACCAACACCACCACCGTATTGTCGTGTCTCTCACTACACGTTCTGTTTGTACTTCAGCCCGAAATGCTTCTAACGCAGTTTTCTGAAAACTCGTTCACGGGAGATGCTTCTCGAAGACACTTTTTTTTATTATTCGCCCTAGAGCAATAAGACTTGAGCTGTTTATGGAACTTTTAGAGCTGCTTTTAGATATATAATTATTTTTCTTGCAAGTTGCGTACTTTTATCTCTGCGAAATGACAAAGTGATAACATTAACCTTTTTGCCGCCCCTTTTTTCATCCTTAAATTTCAATTATTTTTTACCAGTCATGGTTCATAATGTTTCATATAAAATTTAGAATACAAATAACTAATTAGGAAGCATATACAAAAACGTATTAGCGTGAAAAATAATAGACGTAAAAAAAACCGTATTTCACCTACCCTAGTAAAATTGTACATACAATTTTTCAGTATAACACAAAATATTGAAAATTAAACTAGATATTTGTACTTGTCATACTTTGTTTTTTTTTTTTAAATTTTGGCAAAGTTTCATGCAGACCCGAGCATTATAAGTGCCCAAAAAAGGAGGGAAACATAGGAAACAATGGCAAAATTTGTGTTTCGAGAAAAACAAGTTTCAAGGTTAAAATTGAGTTTTCTTTATGAAAGATGTCTATAAATGTGATGAATTTTTCGCATAAAAAACAATCCTTCTTGTAGTGGCCAGTGCCACTAAAATACGCCAGCACCATGAGTTTGCCTTTCTCGGCTTTTTCGAGCCGAC